TTCCACACTATATATTCCCAGATAACAATTATACATTCTTAGCATATTCTTAGTATATACTTTTTAAGAATACGCATATGCTGAGAATATACTGTATTTGCATTTGGTACATTCTCAGAATATGCTAAGCATATGCTACGTGACGTTGTTTATACGTGCTATGCAGATACTGAGAATGTACTTGAAGTATGTGTACAGTATGCAACAGGTATCTACTTTAATTTGATAGTATGTTCTAAGTATATGCTAAGTATTTAAATATAGCATATGCTAGGCATATACTAGACACCTTAATACAGGATGTTTAATAATATTGATTAAAGAATAAGTGTATATAATGAGTCTTTATTTCAAAGAATTCATATTTATTTTATTACAAATACTATCTTTGGCCTTAACCAATCAATATTTTATTGTATCAATGGCTTGAGTTTCATTTGCTTAATTCCATTGGATCTTCATTGAACCTAAAAAATAAAAAAAATTAACAAACTTGATACATATACAAATTAAGTGTACATAGCTAATGGGATATTTTAAATATTTTTGTCGAACATAAAACATTAAAAATTGTACATGGCATTTCACTAACAAAAACAAGAGTTACATAAATTATCATGATGTTTACTGAAAGTTTAAATGTATTTTTGTTAATTACTTACCACCATTTTGTAGTTTTCGTCCTCCATTAGCTAACTTTTCAAGTTCTTCCAGGTCAATATCTGGCCTTACAGGATTTTTTCATAGAAAGTGTGTATGTAATTCTGGTAATACTGTATTTTAGTTTCAATCCACCATTAGTAGTATTAACTATATTAATAAATTCACACTGGCAATTAGTATTTGGGATATCCTGTATTCTAACGTCACTTATAGGTCCTAAAAACTATATAAATATAGTAAAATTTGTTTATTTTCATATAGAACATACGATGTAATTAATTTTTATTAATTGACTTACTTCTTAAGGCTGTATGTCACGATACTAAATTAAGTACTAAATTTAGAACTAAATTAATGCATTTTTTAAGTACTAAAAAAATGTACGTTGCAAACAGCAAATTTAGTACTAAATTTAGTACTAAAAAAAGTGATTAATTAATTAGAACTTGTTCTATTTTCTACTAAATTTAGTACTAAAAGTGCGTCGAAATGTTGCGCAGAAGTTTTTCACAGAAAAAATTGACACGACGGTATTTTCTGTACCATTTTGTTTTTAATTAGCGAAAATTTTGCATTATCGACTTGAATAAAATTCGCTTGTTTAATTTTGTAGATTGTATTGTGTTTTTTTCGTGGTTTATAGTAGCATTGCTGTATTTGGTTGTTGTCATGTCAAATTGATAATAAAAACACCATTTTACTTCACTTGTCTATTTTACCCAGAATATTTCATTTCTCTGCTTAATTCACGTATTAATACGTCAATGCGCGTGCGCCTATAGTTAATTTAGTACTAAAAATTGGTATCGTTGCAAACGGAAAAAAATATTTTTAGTTCTAAATTTAGTACTAAATTAATGACTTAATTTAGTGCTAAGTTTAGTACTTAATTTAGTATCGTGACATACAGCCTTAAGTCATTAATTTAGTACTAAATTTAGAACTAAAAATTTTTTTCCGTTTGCTACGATACCAATTTTTAGTACTAAATTAACTATAGGAGCACGCGCATTGACGTATTAATACGTGAAATAAGCAGAGAAATGAAATATTCTGGGTAAAATAGACAAGTGAAGTAAATGGTGTTTTTATTATAAATTTGACATGACAACAACCAAATACAGCAATGCTACTATAAACCACGAAAAAAACACAATAAAATCTACAAAATCAAACGACCGAACTTTATTCAAATCGACAATGCAAAATTTTCGCTAATTAAAAACAATATGGTACAGAAAATACCGTCGTGTCAATTTTTTCTGTGAAAAACTTCTGCGCAACATTTCGACGCACTTTTAGTACTAAATTTAGTAGAAAATAGAACAAGTTCTAATTAATTAATGACTTTTTTTAGTACTAAATTTAGTACTAAATTTGCTGTTTGCAACGTAAATTTTTTTAGTACTTAAAAAATGCATTAATTTAGTTCTAAATTTAGTACTTAATTTAGTATCGTGACATACAGCCTTTACAAACGATATCAAAAAAATTTGTAGGAATTGTAGGTTATGTTATTCTTCTTCTTTTCTTCTATTTTAGTTTGAGAATGTTTTTTGGCCTAAACATTTAACATTAGTGCGTTTGGTAGCGAATTATTAGATCGGCATCTGGGAAAAATTCATATAGATATGTATATAAACTTGTTTTTACATGTATTTAATGTTAATTTTTACCTGCAAGCATTTAGAACATTCTCAGAATATGAGGCACATGCTGGGTAAATGACTTTTAGTATCTTCTAAGAATGTCCTGTTATAGCACGTGCCATAGGCGCCGAATCCTCGGGGCTCGGGGTGCGCAAGCACCCAGAGCAGTTTTAAACTGGGTGCGGAGCACCCATAGCACAACGTAGATAAAAAGTGCCAATAAGTGAAATGTAGAAGCTGTCGTATGTCGTAGCCCAAGTTGGTAGAGCGACAGGATGCCTCGATGCGGTATCAGTGTTTGATTGGCTGTCAGAGTTGTAAGCTGTGACATTGCACGTAGCAATAATCCTAATGCTAATGCAACATAATCCTGAAATAATTATTAGAGCAAAAATAAAAGAGTTTAACTTTTAAGTACTATAAAAAATGGTGAAAAGTCGATAACTTTTAATTATTTGTTAAATATCACTTATTAAAAATATTATGTATTAAAAGTAAAACACACTATAGCCTTTCCACCATTCTTTACTTTACTATGAACCCATTTTTAAAAACAATTTCTGAAAATATTATCGTTCGGAGCTGTATTTTTTGTGTTAAAAAAGTCGCCGTCACTTATCATTGACAACGCGTTGAATTTATTATTCTTGGTGTAAAAAACCTTATAATAACGTCAAAAAAGAACGACTAATAACGGTCTACAATTATCAAGAAAAGAGCTCTGTACATATGCTATCGAGCAAATGCTTGAGGGGAGAAGATTTGGAAGTTGCTGCAGATCATCAAGCACCGTTAAAAAAGAACGTTGTGTTACGATTCTTTAATTTAAAAATAGTTTATTTATTAAAAACAGTTTATTTATAATTTATTTAAAACGTATTAATTAATTTATTTAATACTTAGACACTATTATAACTCTTATTATTATTTATTACAATTTATCTTTTCTATACAGCACTTAAATTGAAACTTAGCTTCTATCGATAAACTCACGCTATTTATATAAAGCCAGCTCTGCACTAGAACATTCTCGATCGTCTAGAAACTCTGGAATTTCGTCATCTCTGATGCTTTCTCTGGTAGCTTCTCGAAGGAATGCGTTTGTCTCTATATGGCTAGCGCTCGAATAAAGAACAGAGTCGCCTTTGAGCTAAAGTTCATTAGGAGTCACAAATAACTCTCTAGTAGTGCTCGCGAGTAACCCAGGTCATTTACTAAAAAACGCTCGGACCCATCAATTTTTGATTTTAGGGAGAAACATTTTTTTGCCAGTTTCATCCTTTTGAATAGAAACTTTCTAGCGGGTGTGAGACTCACCCCTAAAATATTAAATGGAAAGAGGGGTCGAATGATATCTTACTTTGAAGAAATTATTAGCAAGAATATAACCCCTGAGTTTTACAACGCTACTATCTACGTAGCCCATACAGTGGGTCACCAAAAGTACAAAACTAGTTTATAACATTGTTATAAAAAAATATTTTTTGTAACAATTCTAGTTTTATTCCTGTGGCCATCAAAAGTATATTTTAGGAAACTGGGTCAGTAGCTAACAAAAAACGTGAAATAGAAAATGCTATAGTAAATGAAGCTACAGAGGTGACGATTTTAGGGTATGTTATTTAAGAACCCACATTGAGTACAAGATAGTTGGCGTCAAGGACGGGTAAGTAATTTTTAAAATTACTGTGTACAATTTTCATTAACCACCGAATGACCATATTTTTATTTTTACATTTTATATAACACAGACAAAATTTATTCCAAATATTTTACTTATCCAACGGACCTTAAAAACAAAAAAAAAACGCTTATAATCAGATAATAAATTTAGAGACAATGCCGTCCCACGGCACATTGTCTAAACCGCACTCGTCAACGACATTTAGGACGGACCGGGGGGTCGTCCAACTATTAAAAGCTGATAAGGATAAATCCAAGAGAAAAATTAAAGACGCGATGGAATTATTAAAAAATAGTGAGGACGCAAGGGCGGAGGCTGAGGCTGAAAAGCTGAGGGCCGAAATAACCGGACTTAAAAACATCATTGAACAAATGAACCACAATTTAAAGCGAATAAGCGAACAGGCTGAAAGGCAGGAATTAAAATATGACGCGGTACTAAAACAACTAATGAACGATAAAAATCAACAAACCGAAAATAATAAAAATAAAAATAAATAATATTAATAATAATAATAAAACTAAAGAAAGTAACACAGACAAAAACAACACAGACAAACAAAACAACAGAGACCCTAGAATTAAAAGTAACATCCCGATTTACATAAACAATACAACTGAAGACAATACAAACGACAACAATAAAAAAAAATAATGGATAAAAATAACTCGCGAGTTTGAAATTAACCAAATAAAATATGAAACCGCGATAGTAAAAGGAAACCTTGTATGCGTGTGTGGCCCAAAACCACAGACGACTACCGGAAGATGACTCTGTACTTGGAGAAATCAGGTGTTAAGTTCTTCTGTCATCAGCTGGCCGAAGACAAATCATTTAAAGCAGTCTTAAGGCGAATACCGACTAATATGTCGACCCAGGATGTGTTGAGTGACCTGTCTGAACAAGGACTACATCCTATTAAGGTGCAGCAAATGACATCAAGGGTAGACAAAAGGGCTCTACCCTTATTCTTGATTGATCTCCCAAAATCTGAATAGGACGATATGTTATCAGTCAACCGGTGTGTTGGACTGGTAATAAAAGTTGAGGCCCAAAGGGCCCCAAATGGCGCAACGCAGTGTTATCTCTACCAGGGATATCACCACGCGCAATCTCTCTGCCTTAAGGACGAGAGATGCGTGAGATGTGGAGGCAACCACAGAGCGGCGCTGTGCAAAAGGCCGAAAACCGAGAAAGCCACTTGCGCAAATTGCAAGGGGGACCATCCTGCGAGTTATCAAGGATGTCCGAAAGCCCCGAAAATGGGAGCCAGTAGGCCCCCTAAGACCGTACAACCTCGTACATTTAATTCAAAGCAAACGACGGCCGGTGTTAGCTATTCGCAGCAAACAGCCGGAAATTATTAATAATAACCAAAATCAAATTGACATGATCGCCCAAATGCAAAAGCAAATGCAATCGCAGATGCAGCTAATGTTTACAAACTTTGCGAATAATATGATGAAAACATTCCAAATGATGCCCGCAGGAAATGTTTAATACATCTAGTCACTTCTCACCCTAGGTATATAATGTACTATTATCAAATCAAAAATGGTCGAATATTTGTTGAAAAAGTAAACCACCATCCAAATTTTCTTATCTTTATCGTTTCCAATTTATATTATATATTGTAACCTCGAGACCCGAACTCATTTATTTTCTTTATGAGACTGCGAGTGTTTTCTTCCATTTATATTTTCCCTTTTCAATTATTGTTATACATTCACAAACGCAAAAGGGATGTAACATAAATCAAGTTGACAGTGCAGGTTTTAACTTACATTTTTTTGCTTTGTGGACTTTTCGATGCAAAACGATAAATTTATTAAAAATAAAGAATTAAAAGACATTTTTGGAAGAAAAATGGCAAGAATATTTATTATTTGAGGTTTTTTTTTTAGAAGACAAACAAAAAATAAATAAGTATGGATGAGACTATGAGGTGTGCGGCAGAGGTTTCTGGAATGCAACACAAATGCACTGCATAATATCCAATTGTACACTGAAAGATCAATTTGTATTAAAGAAAACGTATTAAAAGTTTACAAATAATATACATCCTTAACTACTAATATCCTAATAATTATTTTCTATTTTCTAATAAATCATAATTTTACAAAATGCTTAAATGCATTCTTTACTATTGTTACGCAGGTTTTTGGTATCATAATTTATTTTAACTCAACTTCTACAATAACTCAATTCAACTTTAACAATTCGGTGTGCTAGCAGGAAAAGAGGAATTAAAGTGTCCCTGTCCTTTTGAGATGCGTGTTTTTCGGATGCCTAACAGCTTCATTAATTCTTGCCATAATTCGGATTCAAAATTTCGTCCTTGGTCAGAATGCAATTCCAGAGGGACTCCATATCTCGCTATGACGTTTGTCATAAACGCTTCTGTTACTGTCGTCGCTTCCTGATTAGGAATAGGCGCTATTTCGTGCCACTTTGAGAAATAGTCCATAACAACCATCAAGTATTTGTTTTTTCTTTCTGTTAAGGGAAGTGGTCCGAGGATATATATGGCAATTCGTTCGAAAGGCTCTCCGGAAAGATACTGTGACATTTTACCTCGATTTCTCGTTTTGTGCCCTTTTCTGCCATTGCACAGATCATATTTCTTACACCAATCTTCTATATCTCGTCGGCAGTTGACCCAATAAAATCTTTCCCGAACTCGTGACCGCGTCCTTTTAGTACCAAAATGTCCCCTGAACGGTTGCTATGGAGCTTCTCCAACACACTTCTGACATGTGATTTCGGTAATACCACTTAATGGACTATATGTACTCCATCGGGGCTCTTCCACTTCCGGTGCAATAGGCCATCGTGAAGATGCAGGGAATCCCACTGAGTCCAATACCCTTTAATAGTTCCACTTTATCTAGCTGTCTTTTGCCAAGTAGGTTTGACTCCATTTTTGTAAAAAAAACTAATTTTTGAGTTTGCACACAAAAATGATAAAAAAACCCCTTTAACAAAGTAAAAATAATAGCTGTTCAAAAATGGATAAAGGGATTTTTGAAGCGGAATTCAGAGATTTCCCTCAGAAGACCTGAAAACACCTCCGTCTCTCAAGCGTAGATATTCAACAAAGAAAACATTGCAGCATATTTTAAACTGTTGAATAATGTCATAGAAAACATAAATTTACTCATAAAAATATCTACATCTAATTTTCACAAACATGGAACCAAATCACCGGAACCGACTGAAGTGAAATCAGTATCTATAGAAGTGGAATCTTCAACACCAATGTCCTGTGAAAAACTAAAATCTGCGGCACCGAGCTTTTCGTCACCTACGAAATGCAAATTTTCAATTCAGGATTTGTCTCCATTACCTCAAGCTGCGCCAGAAACATTCAAAAAAAGAATCGAAAAACCCAGCAAAAAAGGACACAGATTCAACACCCGACATTGATGAATTGAAAAGGGACGCAGATGAAAAAGCAAGAAAGGAAAGGGAGAAACTATCCAGAGAAACAAAAGGGAAAATTCTGGTTGAAAAACAAATGAACCATGGAACTAACGCTGATGAGATTCAAGACAATGATTTGTATTCGCGATCGAAATCAAAAGAAGCGTGGATTTCTTGTCAAAAGTGCCGCTCATGGTGTCTCACAGTGAGTGTACAGGAGTCGATAGATCAGTAAAAAAATTCGTTTGCGAGCTTTGTGAGGGACGTTTGTATTTTTTGGTTTTTCAATTTTAATTTATCCGTTTATTGATTTTTTGTGAGATGTTTTTTAACGTACTTTAATAAAAATACGATAGTAACCAAAAAATGTAGGGTGTGCCATCAATGGAAGAGGCTTGCCTAAGATGACACACTTGTTATTTTTTTTTTTTTTTTCAAAAAATTATGAATGGTATGTCAAATCTCTTGACCTACTGTCAATATTTACGTAAATGTTTATTAAAATTCTCCTTCTCCATACTTTCTAAACCCCGAGGAGTGAGTTTAAAGTTAAGTATCCCATCATAGGCATGTTTCCCCTAAATCAATCAGTCAAACTTACATTACTACTTAATTATTGTTAAAAAAATGGTTACTATATCAGGTAATGTTGATTATAGACATATTGAGTACCTTTTAGTTTGTGTAAGTAAACAAACTTGAAATATAGCGCGGCAGGAAATTAGTTCAAGATCAGTGTTCTTTTTGTAGTATTGTTAGTTGCAACTTCACACATTATTTCACAAACTTTAATTTCATACACTTCGGGTCTGGTTTACTCGTGCTTCTTTACTAATTGATTTAAAAGCAAAGTTGTTAGAAAACCCTTCGACTACATTTACTTATTTCCTATAACTTCTTATTTCTACACTAATACATATTCATACAAATCTTTTAGACATGCAAAAATAAATTAAAAACTTTTGTTTAAATCCAATTCGCTTAAATCTGTTTCATTTTAAATTCATATAATCGCTAGCTTTGCAGATTTCCTTCTATCTGTTTAATTTATTCGCAGAAATTAATTAAAGTTGTTGCATTTTCTATCGTCTACATACCACTCACAATATTAATCACGGTTAAAATGATAAAATATACCTAGAAAATTTGTTTTCTTTTTAGTTATTCAAAATAACGAGAATGTATAGTAAAAACAGATCTATAGGTTGAAAAGAAAAATCTAAATTATAACCGCAAAAATACTGTTACTTTGAGTTTTCTATTCATTTTAAGGACATGTCATAATCAAGATATGGATAATCTTCTTTCACTTAAAGTACAACAGTGGACCACCTAATTAAACTATATATTTTGATTCATTCATGCTGGGCATTATTTTTCATAACTATTGATTTTTTTTAATATCTTTTGAATGTTTAATAAATATTTAAAATAACCTAAATTAAATAATAAACACACATAATGACGACACGGACTTCCAACTTTCTATCTTTATCCAACAATTGTTGAATTCATTGGTCCACTTGATCTATATCGGTTCAAAGTCCTAAACCTTTGTGATTTTTGTTTTTTATTTAAAAAAATTGATTTTATTTATATAAAAAGTTAAAATAGGAATCGTCCTGTATAGACCAACTTTTAATAAGAAACATATCCGTTTTCGAAATGTTATCTTCGGAAATCGAGCTTCAGATTCTCATTCCATAGAAGCATTTCTGCTTTTCTCTTTCTAAAAAAGATTGAGTTACAATATGTTTTGTTATTTCATAATTAATATTTTTTTTGTTTCACTACAGAAATAAAATACCGCCAAATAAAAATAATCTTTTCACATTTTGTTGGTTCGTATCTTAGACAACAGAATATTAAAATTAAAAGGCACGCGGCTTTTGTTATCATACAATGAAACTTGAAATATATATCTCTAGAGTTTAGATTTGGAGCATAAAATTAATATTCTGTGATGTGATGCAGTACATCATTTCTGTCTAGATTGAAAACTAAACTTAAAAAACAAATATTAAAACTCGGGGTTTTTATTGTAAAAGAATTTTAATAGAACGTATAGATGAAAAATTAGAATTGAAGTTCACCAAAAGCAACAATAAGAAATGTTTCCTATCAAGATCAACCATTTATATATTAATATTTTTTTACAGGCTGTTAGAAGGTTTAGATGACGATGATCAAGAGGCCTGTGTACCAGCGATAAAAATGAGAAAACTGGGCACAAAATTTAAGGACAACGGCTTAACCGAATTAAATATAATTTTGGGTATGGCTTTCAGATAAATGGCTTTTTATCGCTATGTTTTTATTTTTTCAGAAACCAAATTTTTTTTTTATTTTAAACATGACATATTTATTTTAAAAAAATGCAACATGCAACAAAAAATTAATGACAAAATCAGGAGATGCTCGCAATTTCCGCCCGATCTGACAACATCGGTGAATACATTCCGCAGGTTATGCATGCTGAGGCTAGGGTTGACACCTGTCCTTTTTTGAAAAGGACAGTCCTTTTTTCTCCCTTTTTACGGCAAATGCCTTTTTTTAAAGCACATATCTTTGGAAGAGACATGGTTTGTACAAAAATATATAAGCTGAGAACCCTTTTTTTAGAAGCCCGGTAGAATAACCTGTTGTGGTATTTGACGGATACTAGGACTACACTAAAAATATAAAAGAGATGGAACAACTAAGAAGAAATGCTGTTCTTTCGAAATCTTATGAAGTTTCTTTCTTCGAAACGATGATTGTGCCAATCAGCCAACATAAAAGTTTCTGTCAAATCGATATAATAAAAAGAAACTTATTGATATGATAATTGAAAAGTTAGAGAGTGTACATATCACAACAATAGAAGCGAGAGATGATGCTGATGTTATTATAGAAACAACTATCGAAGAAAACCAAACATGAGAGGACCGCCGTCGTCATAGGA